GCTTTTGTCAGGTGGACACGTCGGCCGCCAACAGCACGTCAGAGGGCCTGATGTGGCTCCGTCTGGTGCAGTCGGCCCGCGACAAAGATGAGCAGAACCTGGAAGCCTACGTGAAGAACGGTCAACTCTTCTACCGCTCGCTCAGGCGCATTGAGAAGGACGAAGAGCTGCTGGTGTGGTACGGAAAAGACCTGGTGGAACTGTTGCTGCTCACCGCTGCCAGGGTGCCTGCCAAGAGCAAAGGTGCGATTACGAGCCACTACAAAGCGCTTGCAGAACAACAGTGGGAACTGGTTTCAATCCGTTAAAAATACTGTTGGGAGGTGCAGGTTTTGGTCACTTTGTGAACTAAACTCTGAGCAGGGGCGGGCAATTCCGGTCCTGGAGGGCCAGTATCTTGGTGGTTTTATACGCCACCCTGGTCCAACCCACCTGATTCGAATGATCGGGATTGTTATCCAACTTCTGCAGAGCCTGGAGATGATCAGAACATTCGAATGAGGTGGGTTGGAGCAGGGCGACATAAAACATCCAACCCACGAGGACCAGGATTGTGAATCCAAAAATACCGGCAGCCGTAGTTTCAGGTGTTTGGCAAAGAAGGAGAAATTGTAGGTTTGGTCGGTGAAAGTATGACGTGTCATCAGAAAGTAACGATGATGTCTTTCTCTTCAAAAAGGTTCATCCCACCACTCGTGTCCGGACTGCAGTCAGAGGTTCCAGTTTGAGTTCCCATTTTTGGCGCACCTGCGCTTCCGCTGCACCAAAAGACTGCAGAGCTTGACGGGAGCAGACGAGGAGCCAGGCAGAGAGCGCAGCCCGGAGCGGCAGAATACGACGTCCAGCAGGGGCAGCCCCAAGCGCGGGCGCGCCGACGGCGACGGCACCAAACCCTCCACGGACTTTCACAACCTGGCTCGGGACATGGAGAACAACCGGACCGGCAGCCCGCTAAGCGACAGGGAAGCCGAGGTGTGCAGCGAGAGCTCGGGGAAGCGAAAGTTCTCCTCCGTGGACGACCGGGAGTGCCGACGACCGGGCCTGCCGCAGTCCAAGTCCAAGGAGGAGTTGGCGACGTCGGCGCAGAACTACCGAGGAGTGTACGGCTTGGAGGAGAACCACCGGTCGCTCTCCTCATCCGGTTCCTCCGAGACCAAATGCAGCGCCTTCACCGAAGTCAAGAAGTCGGTTCAGACGCTCAAGAACCACGGCGGCAGCAAAAGCTCGTCGGCCGCCAACTCCGAGAACAAAGACCGTCCCGGCGGGAGCCCCCCGGACAAGCACCTGAACATCCGGCAGGTTCTGTCGGAGACGCAGCCGCCCCAAAGCCTGCCCATGGCGAGCGCCTTCACCTCGGTGAGCCAGGCGGGCGGCGGCGAGCGCAAGAGCGCCTTCAGCCAACCGGCCCGATCCACCTATTCCCAGATCTCGCCCTTGGTGATGCCGCCCAAGCTGCTGGACTGCCACCCGGCGGTGGGCGACACCATCTCGTCCACTCGCCTCTACCAGGCCGACCACCTGGCCGCCAAGCTGCAGGGCGCCGAGCTGGGCGCCAACTGCCCCGTGCCGGGCGGCGTGGCCAAGCAGAGCCCCTTCGTGTACGCCGCCGCCGCC